TGATTCTTGTTTACCAAGATAAATATTTCAACAATCATGTTTTGACCATTTATATATCGTACATGAGCATCAGGTATTGAAATCGGTGCCGTGACCTTGAAAACCCCAAAACGCTTTTGATTGGCTTGTCCATAAATTCTAGCCTCGCCAGACGTTTCTGTAGAATTGAATCATTGCCGGTAAGAAGAATTCTTATCAATTACAAGATTACATTTATATAAACTAGTTTACAAGAATCTTTCACCACTAAATTGTTTGCTTAATATAAAAAGCCACCAAAAACTATAAACATTAAGTATATGATTTATTTGTTTATCACTAACATCACATCTATTATCCAATATGTTTCAACCAACATGTGTGTCAATAAAAAACCGCTTTATGAGGATATAAGTAGACTACACAACAATATCTGCTTGTCTGAAATGTTATGGTAACTTCTGATATGTATCACTAAGTGGCGTTTATTACTGCAAAACTACTTATCTATTCAGTATCATTTTCCATGGATTTGTATTTACGTTCTTATGACTACTAAAGTTAGAAAACTAAGTTATCAGCTTTCCAGTGATAATTCTGTTGAATATTTTATTAATTTTATTCAATGAATAATTTATTCTAATCCATCTTACATTCCTCTGTTAGAATTAAATCAATTGAAAAGTCAAACAATGAATAGTTTTGTTTGTTTAGTTGATAAGGATTTTGGCATTGTTCACTGAATTTAACAATGTTTATTTGATAAGCCTTCCTGTTGACTAACGTGAATATAATGTTTATATTAAATAAAACACATTATTTAATGGTCATCATATTTCGAATGATAATTTTTTCTGTAAGAATAGTGTCACTGAATTAATAAAATGTTCAAAACTATTGTGTGAGTTTTTTAGTTACCTTATGAGATATTTCGGAAGATTATGTAATGAAAGAGTATTGTTGTGATTAGTATTTGTGAGTCCTATGTTTGACGTAATCGAAAATTAATAGAAGTCAGAAATGTGGTCCAGTGAATTCCAGCACAACGACCTAAAAATATTGAGCTTGGTGAGAGGTATCAAGGTATTGAATTTGATCCCTGACGCGGTAATGAGTAAGCATTGCTGAAAAATCGCACACTAGAATGAATAACTGTTCAGTACTCGATGATTTTCAACGCTTCACCAGCTAATGTAGATCGACGATGAAAAATGAAAAAGAGGTGCCCACATTGCCAAATCAAAATATTTTGATAAAAAGGGTTTCGTTTGATAAAATTGTGTGTTATGCAGAGTATTCTAATGTGTTTTCGCGGATAAAACTCAAATAGCAATTATTTAATCAAACATTTTGTTCCATTCGAAAGATATAACTATGCATATAACCAAAAAACCAGATTCAAATGAAACTTCCTATAAGAGCGATGTTAATAGTAGAGTTCGGAGTAAGGGATAATTACTACTCACTCACTAGAAATAAGAGAATTCTGTGAGCAAACACTTAATATGATATTGCTCACGGAGAAGGAAAAGAAGATATTGACTATTTTTCTTAAACTGAAGAAATTCGGATTTCCATTAGGTTGGGGTTATCATTAACGTTATTTCTGTTAGCTAAGTGCGTCTTAATGAGCAATGTCAATCATTTTTCTGATCATCTGGTGGACGAGCTCTTCATATCAGAGTGTAGTTTTGAATTAACGACTTCATTCTAAGTAGCTAGATTATCTTCAACCATATGGTACGTACATTTTGAGTGTTGCGCATCTCAACATCTCGGATGAAATGAACAAGTACAGTAAAAGCTAGGATTTGAAATGAAATACGGCATGAAAATTATGATTTAATATGTAGCACTCATAAAGTAAATGGACAGAAAAATAAATGAAAGTGCTCATCAAGATAAGCTCTGCTAACTTCCAAAAATTTCTGACAACTTTAGCTACCTAGAGTTATCATTAATTTATAAATGTTGAAATTATTATTAATTCATTTTCTTATTGTTTGTTCGAAACTTCCCGTTGATGTTTAGGACTGCAATTGATCAGTCTCTTATCGGCACATCTCCATCCAGTGCGGACTGCCTCGATATCGCCTTAAATCACAAATAAGACCCAAATAGGACGAAACGCGCTTTCTCGATTCCATTGCTATTTCATATGACGGGATTAAAAAGTAAAATTACATTCTTCGAATTATTGTGATTTTGTTCAATATTACTTCCCTTTTTTTAATTCAATGTGATAATTGCTCAGAGTAGTATTTGTTTTCATTTTCCAGTATGATATTTTACTCGATACAATATTAATTTATTCGATCGAGTGTGATGTGTTTGTTCAAGATACGATATTCTTGTATTAAATGAAGATGAACTATGCTTAGCATGAAATGCAACATGTGATTTGTTATAACTCTGGGCACTTTTCATATATATGATTTCATCATAATTAATTATCAAAATGGGCGTACATTCAATACATAAATGAGTGCATCTTTGACTAGAGTCGTCGTGATTTGGGGTTATTAAATTTTTACTTGTATCAGTCTTGGTATTCCTACTCTGCGTGGTGGGAATTGCAATGGTTACTCGTTTTACAAGTTTAAGTAATAAGCGATTCCGACATAACAATTGGCGATGCAGTCATAACAATTGCAGATCAGTCATAAAACTACACACCATCTATCTCTGCATATAGTGCTTGTTGAAATGATTAGTTATAGCATAGACCTGAAGCAGACAGATTAGATAATCCTGTTAAATAATTATTCCAATTAAACAAGTAATATGTGGAAGAAAAATAAAATAATTCATGATCATGTCAAACGCTTGATTGGAAATTACACAATGGATATATATATATATATATGTATATATAAAGGAATATATATAAATAAAGGAATGTGAAATTTAGGTGCAAATATTAGTACTGATTATGACAATATATTTCATTTTGAATAACAAATTACTTCCAACCTTTAATAGGAATAAAATCATATGTAAAAATTGTTAAAATCAACATTATCGGAAGGGGTTTTTTGTGGGGATTTAGTATTTTTCATAGTTGAAAGCGTGAGTCAATTGAAGCTAGACCACCAGGGAAAACCTGTAGCACCATTGGATGCCGGCTCAGTGGTCTATCGGTTAAGTGCTCTGGCGCGAGACTGATATTTCCTGGGTTCGAATCTCGTGAAGTGGGATCGTGGATGAGCACTGCTGAGGAGTCCCACAATAGGACAAAACGGCCTTCCAAGTTTTCCATGGTGGTCTAGTTTGAATTAACTCATGAATTAAACTATAGAAATACAGCTTTTTTTAAAAAAAAATAATTAATTCTGCTACTATTCTGTTGATTTACTGCTTGATTATTAATGTGATTAACTCTCCTAACCGAGAAGAATACACTATCTGAAACCATTTAAATTGTAAACCATCTAAATTCTGTCTGTACTTCACTCAGATAGACATAGATAAAGATACAATGATAACAATTTTTGTGATACGAAAATTAAACCTTAGAAATGAAATTGAGACAAAACTTTTAACGAAATTATATCCAACATAAATAATCAATAGATAAAGTAACTTGTAAAACTGTCTACGTTTTTTCTTTACTATTAAGTGATTTTAAAGATTCAATGATTGAATATAAACCCATTTGTATTTAGAATGAAAACGATGTCTTATTTTTGTAAACATTAATTAGTGTCTGATCAAGTTAATTAACTTTCGTTGGAACTTTATTTTAATAAGTCTATTAGTACCGATAACTATTCTATCATTGTGTATATCAGATGTTATAATTTATTAAATAATTGATGTGTTCACGAGAAATAGATGACTAGTTTTGTTTCAGATGAATAACTAAATAGATAATCTATTATTAATTAGCGTAGATGGGTTTTCTTTTGAGATGGTGGAGAAGATTTGTAGCTCAGATAGATGATTTTGACGGAGTTTTTTTCTCTAAGCTCAATGGTTTGGTCGTCCTTCTGAACGACATCATCAGCAAAAACGTCGAGTGGAAGTGAAGTGTTTGAATTTCTTCATATGTGGTTCACAGCTTGTCCTGTAGACCTCGATGTTGATTGGTTCTATTGACCTTAAATCTATCATTGTTTACTTCTTTGTTTTGGTTGTATCTCCCATTGGTTTTAATTTTGTTCCTATGTTTCTGTATAATTTTGTTGATTGGTTGATAAATTGGATTGATTCCAATGCACTTGTTTATTGCTGATTGCCCTGAGTGTCTGGCTTCTAAAAATTCTCAGGTGTTTTTAGAATTGTCTCTATCCGAAATCTTCACATTTTTCCAGTCGAATGTGTCCGCAGTTGTCCACATGCATTGTTATAAGTGAAAACATGTCATGGCGTTTGACTGCAGTAAACCTCAACATACGCTAGGGAAAAAGCAAGATCCTTAAACGCAACACAGAGAACACCAATACAATCACACTTAATAGACAAATTCTTGAAGATGTGGAAACGTTCATGTATCTGAGCAGCATCGACGAACAAGGAGGATCTGATGCAAATGTAAAGGTGAGGATTGGCAAAGCAAGGACAGCATTCCTACAGTTGGAGAACGTATAGATCTCAAAACAACTGTCTGGTAGTATCAAAGATAAAATCTTCAATAAGAACGTCAAGACAGTTCTGCTATACCGAGCTGAAACTTCGAGAACTACCAAAACCATTATCAAAAAGGTATAAGCATTTATAAACTGTTTTCTTTGCAAGATGCCCAATGTCTGTCGGCCGGATACTATGAGCAACAACCTACTGTGAGAGAGAAAAAACCAACTTCCAGATGAAGAGGAAATTAGGAACAGACGTTTGAAGTGGTTAGGACACACATTAGGGAAATCTTCAAACTACATAGCGAGGTAAGCGCTAACTTGGAATCCTGAAAGGAAACTGATACGTCTTGTAAGTTGAACGCTATATTCAGATCCTAAGCTAGTTCCATACCCCCGGGCTAGAACTATACACCGACTTGCAGACCAGAGAGAAGACTCGAGTATGAGAGAAACACTTTACTACAAGGTTCATTTATGTACAGAAAATATAGGGATTTTATAGTAATTTAAGAGTCTTAGTTTTACTGAAAGTTCTAAAATACTGCTAAACATAGTAGCAGTGTATCAATCAGCCAATCAGGATCTCCACATTTGACTTTTCCATTTTCGTTATTTTAGTAACATAACATCTAATTAATCGCTGATTGGTTGAAATGCTCCTTGATGAGCCCTGAGCTTGTCATGGCGCTTGCGAGAAAAATGCAGGGTCATCCCAACAGAAACAGAAGAGAGGAAGGTCAAAGAACATACTGCATCGAGAATCAGACGTCAAAAAGATGAATGGCAACTGGAAAGGATTGTCCAGGACAGAGCTGGATGGTGAATGCCGGTGAGCGGCATATGCTATGTTGTTTGATGGATCGGAATAACTCTTGGAAGTTGTATTAAATTTTTATCCAGTCAAATAATTGTATGCTGAATATCTTTGATAAGGTTGTAATAAAATGGATAGATAGATAATTACTAAAATGTGATTGAGCTGGCGACCATGAAGAATGAATTTTGTTTTATTGTTCTTTGTTTTCCTTTGCCAATCATTCAGTGATCAAGTCAAATATGTTTGGATCATCCATGTATTATTCCCATTTCCTTAATTAAGTCAAATGAAGAATAATTATTGTCCTATGATATTTCTCGAGTTAAATAACCTTAGCGTTTATATGGGCAAAAACAATCATGATTTGAATGGCTGATTTAAGAAAAAAAGGTCCAAACAAGTGAACTCTTAATAAAATGTTCTGTTAAATTAATAAACTATTAAAAAGATCTTTGTCCTGACAACAAAAGTGATAAATTCATCGACTAAGTACTTTTTTTAACATCCAAGGTGGCAGTGGTATAATCCCATACATTAAAACTAATCTGTCAAATAACTCAAACCTTAGATTGATTAGAGAAAAGACCCATATTATTGCCTTTTGTACACATTTAATTTGTTTATCTATTTTTTATTAAACTTAAAACAAAGGGAATACAATAGTTTTAAATCAAAGTGATAAAAAACGGTGAAAATTATGATGGTAATAAAAAAGAACAATAACCGAAGAAAGTACATGGACAATTATGAAATAAAAATGGGAAAAGATTAAAACAAATAACTGTCTGTTGTCTCACACTTTACCTTTCTATGATTCGTTCAAACAAAACAAGGCATTATAAGTCTGTGGGAGGATGGGGGGAAACCAACTATACACAGATAAAACGAGGCGAAGAAACTGGCAGAAAGGTAAAAAGCAATATGATTGTGGGTGTGCGTTCATAGACAATAAACGACAATGATGACAGAAAAACAGTTGAACAAATTCATTGATAACTTTCTTCTGATAAAAAGAACAGCTATTATAAACAGAGTAAGTACTAAAAGATCATTAATACTGGTGTTCTAATTATTATCATTATCAGAAGTAATGGTAAATGCTTTGTTTTGAACCATATGGAGGAGAAAAGTAGCAATGATAAGAAAAAAACATAATAATGCTGAAAATCAAAAATGCTATACATAAAGTAAAAAGGCAAATCAAAAATTGCTAACTACAAAACTATTAAAATCTTTTGGACGAAATGGAACACGCATACACAGTGTACATTCGATGTGATAATACACACTATTTACATACTATGATTGGATAGTGGAATTAAATAGTTTCATATGCGTGTGCTTAGACAACAGTGAAAGAGTTGTTGATTAGTTTCCTAAATTAACGATCAAGGCACACGAATGTACAAAACAAACAGAAGCGAGAAATTATTATACTTATAATAAGGCGCTACATACGTACAGACAATATAGTAACCAATAAACTAACTACTTAACGAACAAACAGTAATTATAATGATGTAATATTGATGGAAAAAAGATACTTAGCTAAAAATAAAAGAGAAAATGTATGCGATGCATTTCTTATGGTTATTATACAACTGTCTTTCCATATAGATATATAACCAATAGATATTACGATAAATCAGTGAAAAAAGAAAGCTATAGTCATTCAAAAATTCATTGTGTAAATCGTTGTTAATACATAGTTTACACTGGGTTGTATGTATAGATTTCTGACGGGATAAAAGTGAGTTTGATAAAAACATGTTCACAAAATAAGTGGATTAAAAAAGAATACAAATTTTTCAAAAATAAAATAGTAGTCCAATATAATCATCCAGATATCTCTCGTGTCACAAAAGACATGGGGAAGAATCCAATCTAGACAAACAAAAGTATGGGAAAAAAACAAAAACAGCAAGAATTACACGAAATTATTTAAATTTTTACATTATATACATTCATGACAACTGTCACTATAGAAATGATAAAAATCTAGAAAAATAGTGAACAGTTGTTATTAATTCATTCATAATAACACTCTACAAAAACTAGTTAAGGATAGAACAGGCTGATAATTTTTTGTTATAAAGGTAACAATAATAATATTATAATAATATAATATACAATAATATATAATATTTGGCAACACAAAACTTATTCTACTGAGATTACATTGGAATGAGTTTATTAAAATTGAATTCTGTAGCCAATGCTAGACAGTCATCAGATGGAATAGATGAAGTGAATTGAATAGTTTATACAGTTATTTGGTGCACAATAAATCAGGTTCTATTTTATAAATTAACAAGAAAAATTTACTGATATTAAGAGAGCTTAAATGAAATTAAATAATCACTGATTAGATTCATTCTAACAATGTAGTTTGATTTTTAAAAACATATTAATAAACTAATACGAGCCATAGCTATTGCTCCCAATTATTTCTAATAAAAAACGTTTTACAGGATTATGAAGGTATAGAAAGTAAGGGTGAACTAATTTACTAGAAAATAACTATTTGAAGAGATATCTCTGTGTCTATGTGTTATATCATCAGTCATTCATAAGTTTTCTAATTGAACACTAGATTCGGTTCCTAAGCTCTTCTAGTAACCCCCAGGCTAAGTCTACATAGCAACCTGAACACGAGACAGAAGGTGGAAAGTATGCAAGATACGCTTTACTTCCAGGTGCGTTTATGTAAAGAAAATCTAAGGTATTTATGGCATTTTAGATGGCCTTGGGTTTCCGGAAAATTATGAAACTCTACTAAACATAGTAGCAGTAAACATAATCATTCAATCAGAAACGCGACATGTAACTTTCCACTTTCAAGATGTTTCTGGTTAAACGTCTATTGAATGCTGATTGAATAAGATGTTTCTCAACGTTTTCAGAGCCATTTTTGGCTTTTTTTTCGAGGAATTTTCTGGATTACCCCAACAGTTATCAATACTGTAAGACTATGAACCATTCTATATATTAATTAATTTGCATGAGAATTAATTAAAAAAATGTAAGTCTTCGAAATGAATGCAAAACACGTATGAAAGATAGAGAACTTATTTACACTTAGAAAAAGCAATTATTATACACAAAAGAAAATTACTGATAATTTCATAGTAGGGAAACGTGACTACTTGAAAGTAAATAAGTAGAAGACTAAATAATGAAAATATTCGAAGCGTTAGTGTAAGTCCAAAGAATTTAAAATGATCACGCAACATAACGAAATGTGAACAACACTAGATCATTGATAGTCGTAAAAATCATCGTCAAAACTTTAATTATATTAGGAATTAGTAAAATGATGAATACTTTGACATTGAGAGTAACTCATAAATATAGAAGTCAATAATGAAAAGCTACTGAAAATAACTGCAAAATCTCTTATCCACTGAGATAAAAGTTAATTTCTATAAAGATGTAAACGATCTTTTAGCAAGTCCAAAGGAAAATCAACTAGAAACGTTTTTAGATGAGGTTAAAAATTTTCAAACATTGAATGACTAAACCTAAGATCGAAAATAGACTGAATTGTTAGTTTAGTTGTGTGTAAAAATATAATACAGGGTTTCATAATGTTAACATGTGAAAAGAGACGTATAAACTTACACGACCATTTAACCATCCCTTCCACCAGCCTCTGTCTTCAGCTGCACGACTAACTACAGCAATTCGATCACCTCCTTTCAAATTCAAGAAACGAGTATTAGACGTATCATGAAAATCAAAATTTGCACGAACATAGAACAATGGCGATGCTATTCAAAATAAAATAAAAACAGTTTAATAAAGAAAAAGTACGTTAAACTTGATTATATATTCGCGTACATTTCATTAATAGGTCTCAATAACTATGTAAAACAATATACAATCTATACATGCCATGAAATCAGCTACAATTATAGTGAAAATGAATTAAACAAACGGATAAAATAATGATAGGAAGAATTAGATAAAATGAAATAAATTCTAAAGTCTAAGATACATTAGGTTAGTTTACCTGTTTGGCATTGGATATAAAATAAAACGATTTGAAACTTAAGAACAGAAACGGTATTCACATCTTCACATCATACAACATAAATATCTCATTCGATTTAATTTGGTATCTCCTTAACTAAATAATTTATAGAAATTAATCCAAGTTGTACTTCAAAAATCATACTAATAACTATTTAGCAAATTTATCATATAGTGGTAATCTTTTATCAAGGATAAAATATAGTAATTTTCGGGAATGAAGCTTTCATTTGGATCCTCTTTATTTTAGTCATGACAAAATGAAGTACAAATTTAGTTGTCATCGAAAGCATATGAATGCTGTTTATTTTACAAATCACCTGACAATTCAAATACATTGATGAAAAAGACACAGAATGAAAAGAAGTATTTTACAAAGTATTAAATGAAACATTTAACTTGTAACTTTTATGCAAGATATACCTATATTCTGTGTGAGTGGTGTTTGATGGTCAAAGATACAACTAACATGTCAATCTTAGCTTAAATTTTGGTGATCTTATGAAATAGATAAGATTTTTTTCACAAGACTTGAAGTCTGAATGCCGTAGCACTCTAATGACCTTTGTTTGAATAAACATATAAACAGGATTATTTTTACCTATAATAAAACAAACTTGAGATAAATTGCCACTTAACGATCGCAAAAATTAGAATACGATTAGACCAAAACTTTTACGTAATTGATGGACACTGTTCGAAACTTACCTAATAAAAAATAAGATTCAGGTGGAGAATTCAAGATATATAATTATGGTGTATTATGAATGATCAAAGAAATTTTATTTAACTTGATGTGTTCTATGGAATATCTGTGTTAGTTTAGTCATCTTGAAGTAGTTAGTAGAATTTCCAAGCATCACCGAGTGATTGGAATATCTAGCAATAAAGTCAATTATGAGCAACTTAGAACCTTACACATACGTGTAACCATTCAAGTTGATACATTATAACAACATAGTGAGACAAAATTATCAAGAGAGATGTCAGAGTAGTAGAAGTAGTAACAGTATCAGTCGAATGTGTGGTAATATAAACCATTAGGTATAGACAATATGGTTCGAGAAGAATGAATTCGCCGAATAAAAAACATAAGGTAAGTATAAAACTCAAAATCTAGGAGGAAACAGAGTGAATGCATCTGTGGTATTGCGGACGACTCTGACCTATTTCGACCAAACCTCTTCAATTATCCGTTACAATAATCTTGATGACCACAATCGCACCTACCGACTTCCTTCAATGAAACAGTCAGTGATTTTATTGACCGATGTAACATCTTGATTTGTCCGCCCCTAGTTTTCCCGAAACCTAATTTTATACAGCAAACATTACTCATTGAAGTAGACAATGGTTCAGTAAAGAATATCAGATAGAAGTATATACATACGAAACCGAAAGGTATATAATAGAAAAGTATGAGTAATAGTAGGTAACTTACAAGGACACTTCTGGTAGGGATAAAGTAAGGTGATATCAACTTCATCGAAGCACCGATTTAACGACACTTTGGAGTAGTTATCAATTACACACTAAGGAGAGAGATAGATACATGGAGAGAAAAGTTTTCGATGTATGTGTAATTTCAGGACCTTATACTTTAAAACATCAAGTTTTAAGAAAATATAAAGGAAATACTTTATTGTTGTATGCTATCAAATCTTATTTTTTGACAAAACGCATATTTTGCGAATTTGCGGAATCACAAAAACGTTATCGTTGCTACATAATAAACCTTACATAAAAATAAAAATACTATTACTGATACGTCCACATTCATAAAATATTTTGACGTATACGCAGCTCACTAAAATGTTTCAGGACTTAAAAAGCTACAAATATAGATTGGTTTCTGATCGAAAACGTTTATTAATTGCTTTGGTTAATGTTTATCAGATTTTTTCTACTGAATATTAAGAATTTTACGTATTTGGTAGATTTGACTGACTATCCACACTAAGACTAACTTTCAATGACTACTCTTCAACTACATATCTGTTTTTTCGTCCGAAGACATTTACGTGAAATCTTTAAGATATAGATTCATAACTGACAAAAGTGCTTAAGGTGCCTCGGTTGTATAATATTTATACATCTCTCGTCTTCAAAGATCAATATATATCTCACGTATAGTATCAAAATTAAACGATTGGTATATTAATGAACTACTATTCTAGATAAGCCTGAAATAACGTTTAGTGATACCGATTTCGACGTACAGAACTGTAACTACAGGAAAAGTTGACAATAGGTACTTCGTGTTCAACTTTTTTGTCTCTTCAGTAATTAGCTACCAAAAATATTCTAAAAATATTTCAGTAAGTTGTTTTTATCTCGATAATATATTTCATGAACTTTAGAATTTACATGAGCTTAACTACGAAAATAACATGTATTCCGATGATGAAGGTTATGGCTAGTAATGTTTGAGTGAAAGTGTGATATGAGTAAAGTCATCCAAAGAGCTTTCAATAAACCAACTCGTCTTGCTCAATTTTAATGTCACTCATAGTTCATATAGTCGGACACGTTTGAAGTGTAACCCCCTCTGATAACCTGTATAATACTGGTTGAATGGAAGTATCAGCATTCATATGCTTCGATGGCCTCGGAAATAGACAAAGTCAGTCAGTTATACACGACCAATAAACATCAGGAAAAAATTAATTAGTTCAATAAATAACGTCTTCTGAGCAGCAATATAGATAAAATGAGTTGAACCAAACCAACATCTGAACTATAATGAACTTTTCAGCATCAAATATTGACATAAATAACCTGAAGACGCCTGGCTCTGTTCAGGATGAAGTTGAGGACATAAATGATTGACAAACCTATATTAGCTACCCTACTTACCATGGGTCTCAAGAACTGTTGAAGTCATATTACTTTGAACAGAAAATTATCCTTCAAGAAATGTTGAATAATCATTTGGAAAACAGTGAAATTAAAGAACAATAAACGAAAACCCCAAATTTCACTCGAAAATATCAACCAAGTTCCAGTAAGAATAATAATATTATTAATAAACACTAGCTTATTTGTTAACAAAGAAAACATACCGGTATATTTGGGAACTGTTCTAATTCACAAAGACCATATGTAATGCAGGAATTATCAGATGATGAAAAACGTTGTATACGAATATGCCGTGGATGACCGTATACAACAGACAGTGAATATTCTCCCATTCTCTCAGCACTTTTAGACAGACGTACAAGAAATGTACCGTCAATACAATTACTTAATAAATTAACAGCTTCAAGTCTATCCATTTCACCAACATACCTATTATTTGCGTCAACAAAAAAATGGAAAGATTCTATAGTCATATAAATCAACGAAATATAAATAAATAAATCAAGCAGAAGAGAGAGGAACGAATAGGAATAACGATTGGTTGAATGAAAACAGTAAAACGCCAACATACGAAACAATTAGGTATAACAGTGAATATATATACATCTATCTTTAATCAGGCATGCTTCTATCGTACTACTGTAAAAGTACACAAATATCGAAAAAAAACAGAAGAAAAGGTTATCTGGAATTTAAGCAATTGAGAGAAACAATTATATGCATACACATACCAATGAAATACTAACAAGTATGACATCACTTGGATTTTCTGCTGAATAGAGTATTCTTTTTTAGTTAAATAAAATCATTTCACATTCTATATAATACAAATAAGCTATTCATAATAGTAAGCATGAATAGTGTAAGTTTTGTTGAGGAAAACATGTTATAAAAATGTCAGCCGATGTTGATAATTATAGAGTACATCAGTAAATAAACTTATTCTAAAGTAAACTTATTTATTGTTGATGTTGATTATATGATGGCTTTGTTGTAAGGTACTGATAATGTCAAAAAAATAAAACCAAGCCGTTCACATTCATCATCCTGTGATGAAACATACAATAAAGTCCTGGATAATCAATTAGTACTTGAAACAGTAAATAACTTGATATATACCTTCAGATATAACTGAAAATGTAAAGAATAACAGTTCACATCATTTTAAATGATGTGATTATACGCTGTAAAGTTTTTCATCTTGTTGATAACTGATTAAAACTATGAGAATCCCAGGTAATATGGTTATAAATTAGAAAATTATTTGTGATACAACGATACTACTATTGAATAACAGTTTGGTATTATTTGAACTTCAATGATCATCCAACTGACATAGTTATGCGGGAAACAGTGTTTGGCCCGGATTTCGTGCTAGTTAGGGTTCGTCAGCAAGGGGTACCTGTAAACTTGAGAGGACTAACACTTTGCACGAGATTAAAACCCATGTCATTTATATTCAATCTCGGACATTCGAATCTAATATAGTGTTATATTCCTTGAAATTGCAGGTACGCCTTACTGACGAGCATCAACTCACATGAATCCCAAGTCAAGCAGAATTTTCTGAATACTACCTCCAGTCACCTAAAATTGAGAAATAGTGAAGACGATGTTAAATCACTTATACTAGTAGCCTTATTTCTACTTAATCGATAGAATTCAATCATCACTGAGGACTAGACAAACATGACGTTGGTCAATATTCAATTATCGATCGGCCAATTAGTTAGTTAATTAAACAGTAATAATAATACCAGCAAATAATTGATATTTTGGCTTAGGTTGACTTTTCACACCTTTACAAATAATAGGAATAATATGCATGGACATAATATTTTCTCTTAAACTGTGTACAAAAGCAATATCAAACCAAACAGTGTAAAATAATTTAGGAATTATAAACAAAAACTACAGATTGCACATAGAGTAATATAAAGCAGCCAAATGACCATGCGAAATGACACATAGTAATCAAGCAATTAAGGCAAATAAATCCAAACATGCAAATTATGTACATAAGATGGACACGCAGCATAGAACAGTAATATAACTATCTAAGTAAAGTGATAAAATAACTCTAGATTGAAACAAGTATTTACATGATTAAAATTTAGAAATAAAGAACAAACAACTATGGAACATAATTTCATTCAAAGGCTTTAATTTAGCTCCTAATATATCGACAAGTATTTTGATGTCTAACATGTATTGTGGTTGACATTAGAAATAGTAGACTGCTAATAATAATAATCATATGCCGTTTTTGTTACACACACTTAAATGAGTTAGTATAACTCATTAGACCGATATTTCTTGTAATTGGGAAAAAATGATTACTTTAGATATTTTTCTACAAGGATACATAAGAAATATGCATTTCATATTATAAATGTACATTATACATATAAACAAAGAGACAAAGTTTACCATGGATAAGTCGACAGAAAGTAATGTGAATGGTCCATTGCTAGATCTGTTGGAAAATTTTCAAATCTCGAGGTGACTGTTGCACCAACTGTTGCAGTCTGTGTAGTTGACAATACTGATGGAACTAAATCAATACGCTGAGATAATTCGGGGATTTCCAAAGCTGATAAACTACGCTTTTTTAAACGTCGAAACATTAATGGAGGATATGAATTATTTATATTATTATTCATATTCACTGGAATAAGAGATGTTAATGATGAGCAAGGAGAACTAGGAATATTATTATAATTATTACCGACGATAGGCGATAGACTGTTATTTAAAGTTTTATTTGCTATTGTACATAGAGGTAAATTGGACGGAGATGTTTCATTTGGTGAAAAGAAAGGTTTCTGAACTGAAGAATTATTATTATTAAAAACTGGTGCTCGATCAGAACTAGACGATGAAGATACTTGATGAGAAAGTCTTGTACTGTTTGGCTAATCAAAATAAAAATGAAAACGAATAAAGTAAATATCCCTAAATTTATTAAAACAATCAGTAAAACTAATATACACACAAACATGCTTATAAAAATACAGATCACATGCATTACATGAAAAATATACAATATACACTAATCATCAACTCGTGCAAATCAAATTTTCAACTAAAAAGCAAATACAAATAGACACAGCTGAGCTAGAAAAACAAAAAGTGTCGAAACAGACCAGTCATAGCCAGTAAGAGGATCATGACTGTCTACGAGTGATGTGACAGTCTTTCTGGTTTGACGTAGGCAATTATCCACCAAAGTATTGTTATTATTATTAGTCGTAGTTGTAGTAGTAGTAGTAGTACAGTTATTATTTAATTTATTGTGTTGATGAGGAAAGTGTTCCAGATCGAAGTTTAAACAAATTTCTCTCGAATTATTTGCTGAAATTGAACAATCTGGGGGTAGACTGTGCCGGGAAGGATGCCCTATCAAAGTCGACAGCGACATAGCTGGATTGTTGGTAAATGTTGCATTCGAAGTACCAATCTGAATTGATTGATGAGAATACGATTCAAAGAGAATAAATAAATAAGTAAATGCTTCACAACCGATTGTTGTGGTTCATTAATACTTCACTTAATTACTTTTTATCAAGAAGAAATAAAATGTATCCATTCACATTCTACTTTAATGATCAACAGGTCTATCTTAATATACATATTTATTTGGGAAAAAGCATTCAGTTTGACCAAGAATTACTATCTAAATCAGATAAGAACAAACGTCTTTTTAATATGAAGTACCACGTTCTGTCATAATAATTTCAAATTACCTTAGCTTTGGTATAGATCTGAAGAACCCCCTAATGTAGTTTTTTCAGCTTAGATCGGAATCATAAAGAGACTATAATTTATGAACGACCTTTGAGTGACATTAAAGTGACTTTGAAAATGTCCACTTACTTACTAGTGTTAAATAAGGGTTATAAACCAGTGTGAGGAATAAGGATTATGGTTTACAGTTGATGGTTAGGGTTAGAGATTAGATGTAAAGTTTTCATTACAAACTGAATTTAGCTATAATGCCAAAACGCTATTTAGTCAAATGGATGAATAAATTTCGCGCCAAAATCCAAGACCTATTACCTTAAATTTGATTGGTTTGTCCATAAATTATAGTCTCACCAAAATTTCTAAAGTTTACATTGATCTACAACTGTTATGAAGTGTTTGCATTAACACAAAGACATTAATGAATTCATTCATTCATTATAATAGGACAACACCACTAAAAACGAGAATAACTATTCGAGTGACTATATTAAAGGGAGATCACAAAGAAAGAATAATGATATGAAATTATTTCTGACCATCCTTAATAAACAATCAGTTCCTTTCCTTGACTAAAACAATTTTCCACAATTCATTCGTTATTGTTCATTTTGTGTATTATAATTTGTAAATTTTAAGTAGATGTTAATGAAGTAATATTTGTCATCGCTGTACATTAAAATAGTCATTAAATAAATTCATTTAGATGAGTCGATATGTTTTATATGCACTCCGGAGGTATTAAAATGTTGATTGAATTAGAACAAGACAAGTAATAACCGTATGATAAATTATACGTTGAAACCACTATCTTATGTATCTAATTTACAACGATACTTGGATGTTTTAAGCCAAATAGCTCAGAGAAAGAAATTCCATCAAAATCATCTTATTGAACTACAAATATTCACTACCATTCATTGTTTCAAAGACACTTGAATTTTACTACATGTTGGGGCTCAAATTGTAATTGGAACTTTGAAAAAAAGTACTTGTTGACTAATCGCAGAAAAATTGATAACAGAAGAGAACAGCTTACCTTATTCGTTTTATTATTCAACACCATTTCAACATGATTAGCAGGAAACCAACCTTCAGATCCATCACAGTAACCCTGAATGTTGATGATTTGAAATTTAAAGAATCAAGAAACATAGTTGATAGAATTAAATTACTTATCAATCAAAATTAATAGAGATATAGTTGAATGGAAGCTACTGTTTGGATACAGTATAAAAATATAACGAAGCTTATGGAGAGAATATTTATGTTTGAAAAAAAAACATCTAGTTTTTATCTAGAATAGCATACAAGTAATTTTTTAATTTTGTGGAAAAAAGCCATAACTAAACAATCATTGCTGTTACAATCAAAAGCTTAATTACTCTTAACCCGCTCTTTTGAATTAAATCATGAATATTTACATTGCATCTAATCACATAGACAAATATGAGTCAATGAAATTATCAAAAGTTACAAACAATATAGAATGCACTGATGCAGTATCAGTGGTGAGTGTCTTCATCAGCTCTTCAATAGGGATAACATCGTCTTTAATATATCTGATGCTAATAATAAAAAAATGGTATTCAAGTGAATTCATGATGGTTAACGTTAGAGATGACCTAACAATTGGTACGGGTGGGACTTTTAGAACTATTCTACAGTAGATTATCACGTATACATCTACTGTGTATATATTGGATATTTACTTTACGGCAGTTTTTTATATTGCCTTGATTGTAGGCTCTTATTTAAATCGTTAACTACTGAAATGTCTTACTATCCATAAATTATCTCCAATCAGTTATGCACCCACTACTCCGTTTGTATTATAAATGACCTAATTATGTACAAAATGTAATTTCCTATTTGTAGTATGTTGTAGTCCTTCAACCGATGTATATTATCATGAGTTTTTAAGCCACGTACAGACAGCAACAAGGCTGACTGTTTCGTGTTCTGACTGATCACTGAGGATGAGAACTGAGTGGACCAATAGATGTGAGGATGTCATCGTCTAAGCTAATGTTACTAATCACATCGGCGTAAAACAGAACACTAGTCGTTGACTCGGTCACTTAGTGAACTAACTAGGTGTTGAAGTTAAATCCATAATAGAACCTTCATTCATCTATATGTCCTAAGTTTAAATGTTGATCGACCTACTTTGTCATTTCAGAGAATAAATAATATTACTAGTCTCCATGTACGAAATATCCCCTAAAGTTCGGTCAATAAACTTGTACTTATTAGATGATTACCGAGTTAGTCCAACTGCATCATAAAGATAAATAAAGCTCTTGACTGATAACATTCAATAGTGAATTACCCAATTCATACAATCAGTGTTATTTCCTTTGAATGAATTCATTGTTTTCAACTGAAAATTTATAAAAACATTGCTTGTGTCTACAAATAATTTAGTACAGAATGATTTGAGCTGCATATATTTAAAAAGAAAGACTATTTTAATGTATACTGAATTTACGGAAACTATAACGTTACACAGTAATGTATGACTGATGATCAACATGTAGAATCAAATATTCCTCTATCTATACAGCTTCGAAGACTATAAACCGCGCATTAAAATGTGGTTCAAAAAACCATGTAAACAAATCTGGTCCTTAAAATCTCGTACTTTTGATAAGAAAACAATTCACAAAATTTATATTCAGTAGATATTAAACTATATGTTATAAACTTTACGTATTCGAAAATTGAAAAAAGTTCATTTTTAGTATGTAGTGAGTTCATTGATAATAGTAGAAACAAAATTGGGATTATTTTCTGACACATACTATCGATGTTTTACCTGACTATAACTCACTATGCATCGGAAAATATATATTTGCACAATGTTAACTTTTGGAGGAACACCCAAAATTTTTAAACATGTCATAAAAATATTAGTCTTATCACAATTTTGGAAAACATATAATAGACATGAAGGTAACAAATTATTCCCACTAGTTTAATATAATCCAAGGTCAGTATGAAGTACATGTGCGATTAGATTTTGTATATTTTGAAGATAAGGTGACTTAATGTTAGTGTGCAAAGATTGATATTTAGCTAGAGAATTTTATAATACAGAGATGATTATTATATTTTTAAATAGTTTACAACTTTCACTGATAATTTTAAAGAGATTACAAGTCAAAGTTAAATAACTATATATTGAACTGAATAACATCATATTGATAAAACTCACCTGCCACCATGATGAGCCTTCAGTCCATTTGATCAATTCAACTTGATCTCCAACGGATAATCTCAAAGGATGACTACCTGATGGTGGAAGAGGATCACCATCATATGCTTTTCGTGCTATAGCAAACGTCGGGCTCACTGGAGGAATACTTGATGTAGGTAAACCTGAAGAAATACGTCGATTACGTTGTAAGGTGGCATTCGACAGATTGTTATGATCAGTCGCAAGCCAATGGTTCACAGAAGATAATGTATCAGTTAACTGCGAGAAGTCAAATGATTCTGAATTAGGTAAGGAGTTGTTTCCAGGTGTACAAGGTACACTTCCCATCGTTACATGAGAACGTCGACTACGCACTGTACTGATCTGTGGAGGTAATGGCGGCGGGGCACTCGGAGGAACTCCATTAATATGTGGACTAGCTATACCACGCAGTGGAAGATTATGATTGGCAAGACAATTTTTATGTGCAGCTCGATTTGTTTCTGCATATAGAAAATAAAATTTAATAAGGTATAAAATATTCTTTCAGTATCAATTAATTAAAACATTACACAGGACGTTATAACGTATACCAAGATTGTAATATATGATATAGCGAATAGAATGAAAACTGCTGCTACACAGCTTTAAATAAGGGGAAGTTGATCAGAAGTCTACGAAAGTCACACATTTGATAACCAGTTTTGACTAAAAAGAATTCCATTTTAACCAAATTGCAGTTAAATTAGTAAATATATGGAAGCGGAAGTGATTTTTTTCTTTTCTTAGGTCATCAAAATAAGTTGGTTTGGAAGAGGGAAACGCCAGTTGGCGACACTGTTATTTGTGGACAAGCCAATGGAATTAAGTCATGGATCTGGGAGCGAAATTCATTTTTCCAAATAGTTAGACAGAATTTTGGCATTATAGCTGATATCAGTTCGTGATGAAAACCCTGGCTTTAATTCCTAATCCTAATTCTTCTTATTAATTTATAACCCTCTTTCAGCCATAGTGAGTTTTCTTAATGTCACTTTAGCATTGCCCAAAGGCCGTCAATCAATTATAGTCTCAACGGTCAGCTCTCTTAAGTTTCATTCACGTCGTATAGCACCTAATTACAAGTCACGAAAACTTAAAAGGTAAGATGGAATATGCAGTTTATTTGGATGCGAACTTTTCAAACAGAAGGGCCGATGGAAATACTGGTAACATTGTAGTGATACATTATGTGTCACAATCTTGTAATAACAAACCAACGCCAATCTTAAGCTTCCCTTAAAGTGAAAATAAATGCTTATAATATGATGGCACTACTATGGTAAAACAGGGCTTCACGGAATTAATATCACACGCAACAGAACTCGAATGTCAAACTGACTACTGCTCTAAAGACCAAAAGATATGAACTTCGAAAAGAAATCGAAGTCACACTTTAACTCGAACTGGAGACACATTATAAGATATCATATGACTTTCGCGTATATTATTATCTAAAGTACCTAGATATATCTAGTACATTTCGTATTATTAAGTAAGCATCCGTTTCACAAAGGTAAGAATAAACAAATACGGAAAAACATACCCTAATAATTTCATTCACAGAGACTAGACAGAACAAGGTAAACACTATATGAATTAAACAAAACCGATATTAATTCTCACCAAATAGACATAAAAATAAAAGTATTTCTAATAGACATAAAAAGGATCACATATACAATCAAAACGGTGCTGGTATTTAGTAGTGTTAATAATAATTCTAAATCATGTCTGAAACGGAATAATCTTTATTATTTTGTTTGTATGGATTAATAATGTACACGTTACGCAGTCCATCGATAATAATAATCATAACGTTGAACAGTTGGTTACAAAGCATAGGCTTCGAGAAATCTAAATATAAACTTATTGTTTAATTCAAGAAACTTGGACCGTAACTGTTGTAGTTTCTTTGTTTCAATCAACAGAAAGTTATTAACTAAAGTTAGTATAACCAGTTGAAGGGTTTCCAAGTTGTATACAAAAACATTTATTTATTTATTGAAACAGGCATTAGTAAAAATGGGCATCGAAATAAATATGTCCCATATAAATAAGAAAATAATATTGTGAAGAGATAAAAGAAGCATAATCAAATAAATAGATAAATAGAAATAAGTGAATGAGGACAGATTATAGGGGTAAAGGTATATCGTTTTAAAAAGTACAGTCTGAAAGAATTCTTTTAGTTACAGAAGTTCCACTCACTTTTAAAGTAAATGTAAAAAATACTACGTAATGACCATCGTTGACTTTTATTCCGAACCATGAATGATGTCCCACGCTACCGTGCTACGCCATCTATAGGACTTCAACTAGAGGAGTCGTGATGAACCGATAGATCTCAGTTCTATACAGTTTCCTTTCATACCTTGGCGCCATATCATGAACTAATCATCCCTCAACTCACTCTCACTAGTCCTAGAATCGTCAAATAAACCACGATCAGGCAGTCCCCCTCCGAATGTTTCGATAAGACCAAGGATGAAGAGTACAAAGTCTTTTACAAAATTCTTTCATATGGCCATGGATTTATAGCCACTGTCAGGGAAGCCCAACTCACTGCCTTCTCACGGAAAGGACATTATTTACGGGCCCCCAAATGCCCTGGTACGGCCAAGAGTGGGAAGGGTCCGCTCTCCCTCTCCAAATGCTCTCACATGGCCACGCGAATATATAGCCTCTGCCACGGAATTCCTACTCACTGCCTTCTCGTGGCATTACTGTTGTTTACGAAAGTGAGAAGACGAAAAGCGAATGTCCGGCGCTCTAACCGGGTTGGTGGACACGGAGGGTCCACCTAGGGGAGTTGGAAAACCCTGATTCCAAACCAATGGTGCACATGGGCTCCAGTATCCTGAAGGAACAAATGGCGTAAGAACCAACCGTTGGTCACCGGCTAACATGAGACTGCATCTCCTCACGATGCTCCACTGCCTTGTGGATCAGACCTTTAGGTCAAATGCTCGGGGTGTAGCCCCCTAAAAAACCACCTGCTTCGGTTTGGGCACCCGGACAGTATCACAGCCCTCTCGCAAATAAATGAAATGGAACATTCAACTGACAATTATATTCTCGTTCATACTAGAAACAAATCAATTTGCATTATTACTATTATTATTATTTACCATATCGCTAACTCACCCCCTTTTATCCCCAATTTGTGTAACCTTACTTTTCAACTTATGCAGCAGCTCGCCCATGGTGGAAAATCTGTCCTATCTAAACGATCTCCAGTCACTGTCTGGTTGAAAGTGAATGCTTCCACCGACAATGAATACTGAAGCAGTCTTTCTGAAACCACGTACGCCGTTCAAGCTGGCTTCCTTCAACGTTCGCACACTAATGCAGATCAGACAACAGATAGGGCTGGCTATGTCTTTGGAAGGTCTTAATGTTGACCTTTGTTGTCTATCCGAGACCCATATTCAAGAAATTAGCGAAATACTACAAATCCGCTCTCTATCGGTCGCCTCGAAAAACTTGTTCCACGTGCGCTTATCCGGGGACTCTGTGGCATCTTCGTCTGGTCTTGCTGGCGTTGGTGTCGCACTAAGCGCTAGAGCTGAGGCAGCACTAATCGATTGGATCCCCATTAACAGTCGGTTATGTGCTGTTAGATTAGAAAGTTCCATCAAAGTGAGAAGAAATCGGCGTGAGAATCGGTGTCTTTTCGTCATCTCCGCCTATGCCCCGACAAATTGCAGCCCGGATGCAATCAAGGATGAGTTTTACCATCAGTTAACAGTTCTTCTCCAGAAAGCGCGTTCGACAGATATTGTAGTATTAGCCGGAGACTTGAATGCACAGGTCGGGCGTCTAGGCACAAAAGAGAGTCGTTTAGGTGGCCGATGGGGAATTGTTGGTTGCAGGACAGATAACGGGGACCGTTTGCTGCAACTGTGCACAGACCACAACCTGTTTCTGGCTAGCACTAACTTCCGGCACAGTCATCGCCGGTGTGCCACCTGGCGGTTGATTGATCACATCGCGATCAGCTACCGCTGGCTTGGTTGTGTACAAGACTGCCGCTCCTTTTGGAGTACCTATCTGGAGTCTGATCATGCCCTGGTCTGCGCCAATCTCACCTTACTTTTCAGTGGCCGAGAATTGACCGCCATCAACGGATCAATGTTAGTAAACTGGCTGCAACTACTGTTGCAAGTAAGTATCGAGCGGAGCTAGCTTGATATCAGGGCTGCCTTTGATTCGTTGGACAGGACTGTTCTCTGGGATTGTCTATTGAAGAAGGGTGTGCCTGAGAAGTTCATTAACATCTTAAAGGCCCTGTATACAAACACTTCAGACAGAATGAGGGCATACAATCACCTTTCTACCTTGTTCAATTCGAGCAGTGGGGTTAGGCAGGGTTGCCCGATCTCACCATTCCTCTTCAACTTTGCTATCGACGACATCCTGGAAACAGCTCTGATGAATGTAAGTAATGGCGGTGTGGATATGTTGCCTGGAGAACGACTTCTCGACCTCGAGTATGCGGATGATATTGTCTTACTGTGCGATAATGCTCAAGCCATGCAATCAGCACTTAATCAGTTGGCAATCAGTGTCCGCAGGTACGGCATGTGCTTTGCACCCAAGTGCAAAGTACTCCTACAAGACTGGCAGGATTCTCATCCTGTACTCATCCTGGATGATGAGCAGATTGAAGTAGTTGAGAAGTTCGTGTATCTAGGCAGCTATGTAAGTTCTGGTGGTAGCGTGAGTGATGAGATCGATGCACGTATAATGAAAGCCTGAGCGGCTTATGCCAATCTGGGCCATCTTTGGCGCCTTCGTGATGGTAGTCTGGCTGTAAAAGGTCGGATCTACAACGCGTCGGTGAGAGCAGTTTTGCTCTATGCTTGTGAAACCTGGCCTCTCCGAGTTGAGGATGTTAGACGACTCTCTGTGTTCGATCATCGTTGTCTCCGAAGGATTGCTGACATCCAGTGGCAACACCATGTTAGTAATGCAGAGGTTCGGCATCGTGTGTTCGGGCGCAGAGACGATAATTCAATTGGTGTCACCAACTTGAAACACCGACTTCGGTGGCTTGGACGTGTTTTACGAATGTCGTCCCAGAGACTTCCACGTCGTGCATTATTTGCCGACTCTGGGTCTGGTTGGAAAAAGCGGAGAGGAGGTCAGTGTATGACATGGTGTCGTGGTATGAAAGAAAGCTGCAAAGGGCTAGCTTTTGTTGGTTCTTCACGACTCCCTGGCTGGGATCCGAGAGATGGTGCAACACAGTGGCTAGAGACGTTATCAGATATGGCTCAAAACAGAAGCCAGTGGCGATCCTGCTGTAACCTCCTTTTACTTTCTTCATAAAGAGTGGTTCTAACTTTCTTAACTGAAAGAGTCTTCTGGTTGTACATTTCAGCCCGCCTTATCTTTTCATCCCTTCTCTTCCTACTTTCATTATTTTGTATGGCGCATATGTATCTGGTGCCCTTTTGTA